CGTCGCAGCCCCTGTCCCTCTGAGCTGGGTCTCGCACTCAGCCAGGCGCAGGCTGCTCTTTATAGGATCATGGAGTGGTTAGGGTTGGAAAGGACCTTAGAGATCACCTAGTTCCAACCCCCTGCTGTTCCAGCCCCTCTGGACCACCAGCCCAGGCAGGCAGTCCCCGACCTAACGCTGGTCCTGACCCCGCTGCAGCCCGCTGCTCGCCAGGACAGCGCCTTTCCCTCCCTCCTGCTTTCCTTTGAGAATTCATCTTTAACAAATTGAATCTAACTTGGTTATTTTTATCTTATAATATGTGTCCTGCAGTGGTCTGGAGCTGGCTTTGCTCCTGGTCTTCAGCGATGCTGCCAGAGGCTGGTCCTCCTGCGGCGGCTGGGACAGAGCCCGGACCCTGATCTGTCACCCCGGTAGGGTGGTGCAGAGCAGAGCACGGGCTCTCACCGAGCATCTTGCCCAATATTTGCCTACTTGCCCGTGGCCACCCTACCTGGCAAGCTTCTCCACCAGGAGGGGACAGGTCTGGTTCTTGCTCTCTTTTATTTCCATCAGCAACATGATGTCGCAGAGAGAAATGATCTGCAAGGGGAAGGAGCAGAAGCCCGTGTGCGTACAGTGAGTTTTGGAGGATTAGAAAGCCATGAGAAAGAAGCGGTTACTGGGGCAGGGGAAGTCCTTGTGGAAGAAGCCGTGCCCAGACGGGGGTCACGGGAGGGGGACAGCAGCTGGAGCGAAACCCTTCTCCTTTCAGAGCCTCCTCGTGCGCCCACGCCGAGCAGGGAGAGGGAACTCGGGAGCAGCGCGGTTTCGGGTTTGTTGACAAACTTCTGCACCTGCCCCTGAGGAGGAAGTGTGGAGGGGAAGGGGCAGAGAGAGCCACGGCCGCCAGCCCGCTCTCCCCCCGCTGCGGGGTGCTGCCCCGGGCCCCCCACCCGCGGTCGGTGGCGCTTTGCTCTCCTCCCTGCCCCTCACCGTGTCCGTTTGCTTCTCTGCCTCAGGCTGGTGCTGTGCACAAGCATCCCGGCTCACTGGGTGCCCAGAGGGACGTGGCAAGAGGTTTTGGGGGGCATGGAGGAGGGTTGTTTGGGACTGTCATCAATCCCTGCAGTGGTTTCCACCCTTTTTCTGGGGTATGGACCCCAGGAGTCCTATGGCTACACTGTGCCTTCTGAAAGCTGCCTGTGCTGCCAGCACTCGCCTCTCCCCATCATCTGCTGCAGACCCCTCTGAAATTACCTGTGGAGCCCAAAGTGACCCCCAGTCTGAAAACAGGGTCCCAGCACCCATGGGCTGCAGCACCGCAGAGGAACCGCAGGATGCTGGGGGTTGGGGGGCTGTCCCAGCCTGGCTC